CCTAGTACCTGCTTGGAAACGTTGGGCTCAAGCTTTGGTTTTCAGGCCAAATATCCATTGAATTAATTAACCTTTCTCTCCTCTAATTTTTATTTTATTTTATTTTATTTTATTTATTTTTTTCTCCCCAAAGCCCCAGTGCTTGCTTGTATATCCTAGTTGTAAGTCGTTCTAGTTCTTCTACGTGAGCCGCCGCCACAGCATGGCTACTAACGGATGAGTGGTGTGGTTCTGAGACCGGGAACCGAACCCCGGCTGCTGCAGTGGTGAGAGCACTGAACTTTAACCATTAGACCATCAAGGCTGGCTCACTCTCCTCTAATTTAAAAAAAAAGGGCAAATAAACATTATTAAATTACTGCTTTAATACACCAGTTAATAAAATTCAACTGCCACCTATTAGGTTCATATGAAAATTTCTGAGGGAGCCCAGCCCTCTCTTTCTCATCTGCTATCCTGTTATCAGGCTGGTGAATCACATAAGAATAAAAGACACCATTCCTGTGCTTGGGAACCACATTTTAGTTATGGAAATAAATATGTAAACTCAGGATTAAATGATATGGCGAAGCCTGTAATAAAGGGATAAACTGGGGGAACTAGGTCTGCCTGGTGGGAAGGGCTGGTCAAAAAGGTCTCAGAAAAGGAGGTTAGTTTCTACTAGGCCTTGAAAGAGAAGTGTAACAGAGAGCTTGGGAATGAGTATTTCAGACAGAGGGTAAGAGGAAAGGAGGAAGGTGTGTAAGTGTGATTCAGGGAGCAGTGAGTCATCACAGGGCCAGCAAGCTGTGTGTTAAATTTGGGTGGGAGATGAGAGGCCAAAGTTAGATTTGAGGATCTGCCAGAACCATTAGCAGCTCTCATAAACTGGCCATCTTCTGTGTCCCTCTGATTATGGGAAAACTTTCCTTTGTAAATGGAGTTGTTTAGCAAATGTAAGTTTGCAAAGAGCAAAGTTGACTCAGGAGACAGCCCAATGGTGGGGCACACAGGACATTTTCTGGAAAAGAAGAGGATGTGAGAAAGGATATGATAGACAGACAGATAGCCAAACAGGGAACCTAAGGACTCTTGAGAGTTAACAGTTGGAGCCAGGCTGAGGTTGGGGACTCAGGAGAGATCTTAGATAAAGGAACCAGGGAGCACTGGGCAACCAGCTTGGCTGTTGGACTTTGATCTTTCACTCCTCATCCTTTATTTCTATCCTCAACAGCTCCCTGTATCCCTGGACACTGCCCTGACTTAGTTGGACGTAACAGACTCCCTGCACTGCGTCTCTGTGTGGTCTGTACACTAGTACTCCTGCCAATGGTCGGGCAGTTCCCAGCTCCCCTGTGCCTTGTTCTAGGACAGTGCAGGGAGGGTGTGCAGAAACGACTCAAAGCCCAGACTAGGGAAAAAGCTGTAATTACCTGAGTGATAACAGAAGTTACCCATGGAGGATTTGGGGCCCTCAGTTTGGTGGTGCCTCCCTATGTCATCACAGGCTACACCAATCACATGAAAGGGCTACAGGCCCCTGAAGGGGCTAAGGGAGCCCTCCTGACTTACCCATCACACTTGCTCTGCTTACCACCTGGTAAAATATCACCAGTATTCTTGTCTACCTCTCTCTAGCCAAGGTCGCCCATGTCGTAAGGCTCATTCCATGAGTATTTAGGCTAGGTCATCATTACTTAGGCAGCTTACATGGTGGGAGGAGAGCAAAAGGGGTAAAGGGCACAAATGTATGGTGATGGATGGAAACTAGACTTTTGGTGGTGAACGTGATGCAATCTATGCAGAAGCCAAAATATAATGATGTATACCTGAAATTTACACAATGTTATAAACCAATGTGACCTCAATAAGAAAAAAATGTCAATAACCTCACCTAAATGGAGTGTTTTTCTAGCACAAATAGATTGGGCAGCTATTTAGGCTGGCTACTTTGATTCCAGTTTCATGCTTAGTTATTTCCCAGTATAATTAGAAGAATCCCTCCCCCACCTTGGATAGGAAAGGATTATTATTTTTTCTATTTTGAAATACATATATTCAATCAACCAGCTTTTTTAGGGTCCCCTTCTATTTGTCAGGCATTATGGTAAATGCTATGAATAAATACTAAGATTGATACAGTCCTTCCCTCAGTGAGCTGACTCTCTAGTGGGTGGGAGGAAGGAGCAGAACAGATGCAAACGCAGAGAAATGTTAGAAAATTTAGTAAGCACCACAATAGAACTCTATTTGGAAATTCTGGGAACACCGAAGAGGGCCCTTCACCTGACCATGGGAGCAGGGGAGCTACAGGAGGTAGTGACATCAAACTGATGGGGAGGAGTTGACTAGGTGGGGGCGGGTGTGTGTGTGTGTGGTTAGAAGAGTGTTAGGAGCAGTGGGAGCAGAAGCACTGAGTGCAAAAGCAATGGATTTGGTGTGTTCATGGAGCTGAATCTGGTCCAGCCTAAGTGGTAAGGCCAGGAGTGGTGAGGGGAGGGTTGGAGAGAGAGGCCGGGGCCGATCACCCTGGGTGGGTGGAGGGATGGAGGAGGACAGATTTCTGCTCAGGGAGAACAGAATGTGGAGAACTCTGGGGACAAGTGAGTGAGGGTCAGATCTGGTAGGTGCTCAGCTGGGCTGACACAGAGGCAAAGAGAGGGGCTTCACGTGGTGAGTCTGGAAAGCGTGGGCCTGAAAGGGAAACCTCCACGAATTTGAAGTTGGTCTTCAGGGCAAAAAGGTTGAAAGAGGAGTCACACGATCAGCCCTGTATTTTATGAAGACCACTGCTGCAGCTGTTTGGCAAATGATCAAAGGGGCTAGGTCCAGAGAAGGGCAGGAAAACTGACTGTGAGGCGGTGGTCTAGTTCTGGTGAGCAGTGATGGGGGCCTGGACTTAGGGGTGGCAGAATGTGGAAAGGTGGGCCATTTAGCACATTGTGCCTAGTCCAAATTACTAACAAACAGAACAAAAAACACATCGTGACACTTAAAGTATTAATTTAAAGTTGTTTTCTTTGCCTCTGCGTCCGTGTCCTGTCTCCACCCACACTAATCCTACATAATCTTGACATAAACATCCTTCCCTTGGGGAAACCTCCTTCAAGCCCCTACGATGGCTGCTCCCACAGCATCCTATATGTCCTCAGTCATAGCTGTCATCATGCTTTCTCATAATTATGGCATCAGCTGCCTGTCAACTCTGCTACACTGTACTTCATGTGGTCAGGGACTTTTTTTTTTGGTCACACATCTACCTTTATTGTGAGCAGCAAGTGGGACACTTCTACCAATAGTAAAAAATTAATTGACAAAAGCAAGGATCCAGTGAAGCCACCTGGTTGGAACTCTTGGGAGCTTATAAAGGTAGATGCTGAGCCAGAGCAACAAGAAGAGGACTCCAAAGCCCATGAAGAGTGAGGCCACCAAAGAGAGGAGGAGCCCTTTGTAGATATTCTGAGTGTACTTGGTGGAGGTGACCTCACAAACAAAGAACCAGGCAGTGAAGAACATGCCAACGGCCAGCAGTCAGATGGGGCAAGACAGCTGGATTCACTGGGCTGGTGTATCAGCTCATGGCCTCAAGCGCCGTTTTGCCAGGCTCAGGGTAATCCATGCTCTGCCACCAGAAGAAGGGCTCTTTCTTGATGCTCTTGTGTCCCTAGTGCCCAATGCAGTGCCTGGCACATCGTGGGTGCTCCATAATTTGTTGGATGGATGAATAAATGAATTATTAATTCAGATAGATAGAATCTCTGTATTTTAGCAGGAGGACTTAGAACTTTTTAGTTTGTTCCAGGATAATGACTATCTTTTCTACTCCCACCCCCCGTACATTGTAATATGTTTAGGAACAGCAAAAAGACAATTGGTAAATAAAATATTTGTCTTTATGATTATTTTAATTATTATAGATATCACTCAGTACTTCTAATATTTTTTGTAAGCGAAAGAGCCTAATAGCCACATTTTAAACAAACATTTATAAATAGTCAAATCAATTCTTTGGCTGTTTATTTCGAAACAAAACCAAATTGTTTAGCTTAGAATTGAAGAGCCCTTAAAATTTGGCCCCCTCCTCTCAGTCATCCTTATGTCCAGTGCCATCCACGTGGAAAGCCTTGGATGATCGGGCCTGTCTCCTGTCTTCTAGCGTGTTATGTCACTGCACGGCTCGGGGGGGTGCTGTCAGGCAGCCGTGTCTGTCATCACTCCTTTCCAGTGTTAAAGAGCTTGGTCTTCTCTGGAGCCTCAGTTCAAGCTGGCCCTTTATGACATTTTTCTGGGTTGGTATAGACAATTTAGAAGTTCATCTCAGCCATGGCTCAGGTCAAACGTCTCCTCTGGGTGAGGAGACTTGCCTGATGGAATGAGAACTAGACCCAGGTCTTCCCACCATGGCTGCGTGCTTCCTCTGGTTCTCAACAGTCTCTTCCTCCCGCTTCACACTCAGCACAGCCCACACAGCTTGGTCCCTGATGCCACACTGTCTTGTCCATTGGTTGTCTTGTACATTCAGTCTTACCTGTGTGACAAGGTGATCAAAATCTTCAAGAGCAGAGATTGTGTGACATGTTGTTTCTCTCCCCTGTCCCCACCAGCATCAGGACACTGTGTGTATGTGAAGGTAGAAGCCAGGTGGTAAACACTTCCTAACACCACTGGGAAATGCACGCCGTGCCTGAGACGCATTTCCTTCTGCTTGGCTGTCAGACCGTGGAGGTCCCCACAGGACTCACACAGTGACTTAAATCCGCACAGAAAGCTGAAATGAAAGAAACATATGTTTCTGGTGTGTGCCACTACATCACCAACTTTGCATGGCTTTTCTCTAAGTGACTGACTCATTTTGTTGACTGAATCTGACTGGGACTTTATCTTTGTTCAGAGACAAGAGTGAAATAACATAATGGTACGTGTTTGGGATGTTTACAGGAGGGTTTTTTTTTTTTTTTTTTTTTTTTTTTAATTCTCCTGGTTTTCTCACCATTCAGCTTATTTGTTTTCCTTCCTGTTAGGATTCCCGGCTGCAGGTCTGTTCCTCAGTCACTTTGAGTTTGGCCTAATCGAAGACGGAGGTTATGAAGTCGATCCTAGATGGCCTTGCAGATACCACCTTCCGCACCATCACCACAGACATCCTCTACATGGGCTCAAATGACATTCAGTATGAAGATATCAAAGGCGACATGGCATCCAAATTAGGGTACTTCCCGCAGAAGTTTCCTTTAACTTCCTTTAGGGGAAGTCCCTTCCAAGAAAAGATGACTGCAGGAGACAACCCCCAGTTAGTCCCAGCAGACCAGGTGAACGTCACTGAATTTTACAACAAGTCCCTTTCATCCTACAAGGAAAATGAGGAGAACATTCAGTGTGGGGAGAACTTCATGGACATGGAGTGCTTCATGATTCTGAACCCCAGCCAGCAGCTGGCCATCGCTGTGCTGTCACTCACGCTGGGCACCTTCACGGTCCTGGAGAACCTGCTGGTGCTCTGCGTCATCCTCCACTCCCGCAGCCTCCGCTGCAGGCCTTCCTACCACTTCATCGGCAGCCTGGCGGTGGCAGACCTCCTAGGGAGTGTCATTTTTGTCTACAGCTTCGTGGACTTCCATGTGTTCCACCGCAAAGATAGCCCCAATGTGTTTCTGTTCAAACTGGGTGGAGTCACAGCTTCCTTTACTGCCTCGGTGGGCAGCCTGTTCCTCACAGCCATTGACAGGTACATATCTATTCACAGGCCCCTGGCCTATAAGAGGATCGTCACCAGGCCCAAGGCTGTGGTGGCATTTTGCCTGATGTGGACCATTGCAATTGTGATCGCTGTGCTGCCTCTCCTGGGCTGGAACTGCAAGAAACTGCAGTCCGTTTGCTCAGACATTTTCCCACTCATTGATGAAACCTACCTGATGTTCTGGATTGGGGTCACCAGTGTGCTGCTGCTGTTTATCGTGTATGCGTACATGTACATTCTCTGGAAGGCTCACAGCCACGCGGTGCGCATGATTCAGCGTGGCACCCAGAAGAGCATCATCATCCACACGTCAGAGGACGGCAAGGTCCAGGTGACCCGGCCCGACCAAGCCCGCATGGACATTAGGCTGGCCAAGACCCTAGTCCTGATCCTTGTGGTTTTAATTATCTGCTGGGGCCCTCTGCTTGCGATCATGGTGTATGATGTCTTTGGGAAGATGAATAAGCTCATTAAGACGGTGTTTGCCTTCTGCAGCATGCTCTGCCTGCTGAATTCCACCGTGAACCCCATCATCTATGCTCTGAGGAGCAAGGACCTGAGACATGCTTTCCGGAGTATGTTTCCCTCATGCGAAGGCACCGCGCAGCCTCTCGATAACAGCATGGGGGACTCGGACTGCGTGCACAAACACGCAAACAACACAGCCAGCGTTCACAGGGCTGCGGAGAGCTGCATCAAGAGCACGGTCAAGATTGCCAAGGTGACCATGTCTGTGTCCACAGACACGTCTGCTGAGGCTCTGTGAGCCTGACGCCTCCCTGGCAGCACAGGAAAAGAAATTCTTTTTTTTTTTTTTAAGCTCAAAATCTAGAAGAGTCTGTCGTCTCATCGGTTATATTTTTTTAAGTTTACCATGCTTGGTGAAAAGGTGATTGTCACCATGATCAGTTATCAGTTCTCTAACGTTTCAGTAGTGTAGATACTCAAACTCAGTTCTCCAGGGGTTTACTGTGAAGAAAGCCTGTTGCTTAAGTGACGGGAAGATTCTTCAAGGTCTCAGTGAAATAGGAGAGAAACCTTTGGCTATACAATTTGAAGTCTAAGTACCCATAGAAAAATGCCATCAAATGAGTAATGCCTTTGTAACCACAACTTTCATTATAATGTGAAATGTGTTTGTCCTTAAGTATCAGAGATGTCCATTTTTACAACAGTTATAGTACTAAAGTAGAGCTATTGTGTAAAATGTGTTGTGTCCTGTGAGATGTGTATCAGTGTTTACTATGTGTTATTTATATTTGTCTAGTTCAGCACAACTGAAAGGTAGACTTTTATGAGAACAATGGAACACAAGCAGTGGATACATGCCAATGAGACCACTTTTTAAAAAATTATTGCCCATGATATAACTTTAGAAACCTTAATATTTTTTCAAATATCTCTATTTAAATTTGACACTGAAATAACCATAAAGGTTTATTTTTCTGTTAATACAACAAGAAGAATTTGAAGACTCTCGAAACTATTGAGACTTCATTGACACTTAAAAATTTATTAGCCCTACATTTTCATATGAGGACATTCTGGACTATAGTTGTTCTGTTGGGTGATGGATTACAATACGATTGGAAGAGAGAAGGCATATTGACTTTTTTGGCTGACATCTCTGACTTTCTTTAGTCTTTAGCTATTACTGGACCTCTTAAGACAGCATGTGTCAATCTTAATGTATATTGTTATCACTGTGCAGTTGCTGTTTACTTGAAGAGTATTGCTTTCTTATATTCCAGGTTTAAGTAGATTTCATGCCTGGGTGGCCAAACAACAGTCTTCATTTTTTCTTAATTGAAAAGAAGTATTGTCTGGATCAGTAAAATTATACTGTGTGTGAGTATGAATATAAATGTGCGTATGTGTGTGTTTCTATCCTGTAACTGTTATAGTAATGTCCTAAAGTGAGAAAACTGTGACGAAGTATGAACTGTACCACTGCTGCACTCTAGCACATGAATTCAGTTTCTAAAATTGAGTTCTTCCAAAAATCCTGTTGATAAAAATACTGGCCATAAACATTCAGAACCCTCCCCCCTTTAAGAGATTGGGTCAAGTGTTGCTAAATTGACCTTTAGGTATTCCATAAGACCAGTGTTTAGCAAGGAATAATCAATGACAAACATTCAAGTGAAGGTCTGTATTTACAGAGTAAATGTCGGGAAATGGGAGTGTTTGGTTTCTGAGCACCTGATATGGATCAAGTCCATGGACATGTAAGTCTTTATAAGGGAAGTGATTCTAAAAGACCCCCAATGATAACATTTTTCAATCTTCTGTGGAGGCCGTGTGATCCCAGTTTAAGTAGCCCTATACATCACTTGCTGAAGTGAGGAGCTGACACACTCGTGATTGAGGCCTGGATGACGTTGGCCTGCTTCTGTGCTTTGCCCAGATGCCACTGGGGACAATCCAGCACCTGGCTTTGGGTAGGTTTGGGCTCAGGAATAGACCTCTCCTCTTTTCCTGGTGAGGAAGATCTGCTAAAGTGTAAAGATGAGCACGGCTTTCTTTCTTCTTATGCCGCAGTCTCAAACTCCTTAATAGTGCCATGGGGGCTCAGAATTAGGCCCTTTCCCAGTAAGCTTAAGAAACCACTCAACCCTGACAAATTTTACTTACAAACAATCTCCTCCTTATACAGATAAAGCGTGGCACCTGCAGGACCTGGAGGCCTACATAGTGTGAAGTGAAGTGGAGAGCTAGCGTTTATCTGTGATTTCTAGCTATCTAGATACCTGAGAAGCCTAACAGGGCAGTGTCCTTTCTTGCAGTGTGTGTTCTAAGGCTGAGTGTGGCCTGTGGACCAAGCCAGAATACTTTTAATTGTCTGTCTATACAGCTCGAAGCCTGCTGGTTCCCTCACTTTACCTCTCTATGATGTGCAGATGGGGACTCAGGGTGCTGGAGGATTAATAAGATCTCTTTAGAAAGAGAAAAGACTATGGAAAAACTCAACAGGGTCTAGCTTCCATTCAAGAATTGTCGCTCTTTTGTCCTGCATCATTCTGAATACTAATCCACATGTCTCAAAGCTCGCCAGACAGTACCAACTCTCTTCTCACAGCTCTGAAAAGCTGGTGAAGATGAAATTCTTGTTATTGGTAGAAAAATTCCAGGATTCATTTTTGAAACTGTATTTGTGTGTATGCAATGTAGATTTTATAGTGTATTGTGCTTTCAAGATCTAAATCATATATAATACATTAAGGGACAATGGGGCTGACAGCACTAAACTTGGTGCTTATTGATATTTTAAGAAATATCTGTGAAATATCATCATGTATGTGTTATAACACCTTCATTTTGAAACGTTTAAATTACTTTGATTCACTTTGACACTTTTAATATCATTTCCTAACCCAAGTGACTCAAATGTTCTCCCCAGTGAATATACTCATTGGAATTACCATTCATTAGTATCATTCATTAATTAGTCCCTTAATTAGACCCATTAATTTAAATATAATTTATATTTCAGTAAGTTTTATAAGGTCCAACTTCAGAGTTATCTACTTTCCTCTGAAGGTAACATATTTGTCCTGACCATGCATTTTGCCATCACATATGTCTTCGGAAAGGGCCAACTTCCCAACCTGTTCACTTTCTTCAGAGTGTTGATGAATCTTTCAGTCCTAGACCAACAGTTTCATTTAGAGAAGGAGGGCTGTCTCCAAGAACCTCTGATTTTCCATTACATGTGAAATATATGTTAAAAAAAGCATGGATCTGGGAGAAGCTGCAGACATATGCCTACCCTTGAGATGATTCCCAACCCTCCCCGTCACTTTGAATCTGGTCTGTCTGGCATTAGGTGTCAAGGAATTTTGGCTGTCTAAACCCACGCTACCGAAATAGGCCCAACCATGAGTTGAGATGAGAATTAGGCCCTGGATGAGTAGCATTCTAGTTACTGTCCTGTCGATTAATTTCTGCCATTCCATGTCTGTAAGAGAGACCACCAATATCATTCGCAAAATTAGATTTCTCACAATCTAACTGTATATTTGTATGATATCTTAAAATCTCCTAAATGCTGGGCAATGGCTATTCACAATTGTTTTGTACTGGCCTTCTGATGAAATGTTAACAATGCCTATTGTAACATAGACAAAACATTTTATCTACTGATTTGGGCTGAATGTATGTAAATAGGTTTTTAAAAAGTCAGATGTTTAAGCAGTGGCTTACAAATCAGTAATTTTCAGATAGGAGAGTTTCTTTACATAAAAGCTATCTTCACATAAACTTAGTGTACTAGGCCTGCTGGGGATCCGAGTCCCCAAGAAAGGAAGCCTTTTCTTGTAATAATGTGAATCGAGATACTAGATTATCTGGATTCTTATTTCCAATGTTTCAAGTGGAAAACGTAACTCTTTATTGTCTGTAAATCTAACATTATTACTTTTCCTCTTAGAAGAATATTGTATTGTTAGATGTTTGTTGAGCTGGTAACATCCTTGCACCCGCTGCACTATCTTTGTTAGTAACCTGTATGATACTTCGTACACAAGTACTAGTAAGATTGTTATTCAATGTAGCTTCAGTCATTAAATTACTATAGCAAAGTAGTACTTCTGTAATATTTACAATGTATTAAGCCCACACTGTATTTTATTTCAATGATGTAATTAAATTGTTATTTATTCAAAAAGAAAACATCTCATCATGTCTATTGTCTTAAGTTACCTGGAATCAAATAAAAATTCTAGATTATCATAAAGAACATAAAATGCCTTTGAATTCTGCCTTATTTCACAGTGTGATGTTAAAACACTAGGGACTTAAGTTCTAAAAGATTATTGAACAACTGATTTGTTCCCAAAAAGGACTTATGACTTTATTTGAGAAATGGGGACAGATTGGATGAATATATTCATTTTTAACATAGGAAAAACATGCAAAAACCATCACTTACATAATAAAGGAGAAAAGCTTGCCATACCTTTTATTATTATTATTATTATTATTTGTGTGTGTGTGTGTGTGAGGAAGATCAGCCCTGAGCTAACATCCATGCTAATCCTCCTCTTTTTGCTGAGGAAGACCAGCTCTGAACTAACATCTATTGCCAATCCTCCTCCTTTTTTTTCCCCAAAGCCCCAGTAGATAGTTGTATGTCATAGTTGCACTGCTTCTAGTTGCTGTATGTGGGACACGGCCTCAGCATGGCTGGACAAGCGGTGCGTCAGTGCACACCCGGGATCCGAACTCGGGCCGCCAGTAGCGGAGTGCGCACACTTAACCGCTAAGCCATGGGGCTGGCCCCTTGCCATACTTTTTAAAGCATTATTTCATTACAGAGTTTAATGATTTTGCAGTAAATTAAAACAAATGTACTATTCACAATATGTAACTTAAATTGGAACCTAGCAGATTTAGTAAAATATATAAATCTAAAGAATTTATAAACATCATATATTCTGAGCCATGTGAAAGAGATAATTACTTTTCAACATAACTTGTAAAAACTCACATAATTTTTATTTGAACCATAAGAGAAAACAGTTTAACAAATTTATAATGAAATAAAGAAAGCATTATAATTAAGTTTACACATTATTACTGTCTGAAATAAAGTATGTTTGCAGTCAGTTTTGAAAGAAGGCTTTAAATTTTTTAAACGATGAATTGGCAAATGTTTGAAAATAGATTATCTTTATTTTTTTAATAATCAAAATTCGGCATTCTACCTCTTTTAGTAAACACTGCTGTTAACTCTATAAGCTGAATGCTTCTAACGAAAAGCAAATGACCTGTTCTCAGTTCTTAAATTTTATACTAGGACTTGATAGGAATAAGATACTTACTTAAGTATCTTCATATAGCATCTTGAAACTCTGCCCAATCAATAATATGTGTTGCCATCTATATTGAAATATACATTTAGAACGATGTAGAAACAGACAACCAATTGAAGTATTTAAGAAGTTCCAGTGTCCCTTATACGGTTCCGACTGGAAAATTCCACCCTTACCTCCAGAGTAGTCTATGATAATAGTTTCTCCTGGTTTAAAGGTGATACAAGTGAAGTTCTTGGCTCCATACTGGATATACAGAAAGTCAACAATACACGTCACCATTGTTCTTCAATTCCCTCTCCCTGGAGTGCTGGTAAGGGAAACTTGGAGTGTACATATCTGATTAGGTCAGGGGTGAGGAAATGTGTGGAATGGGTTGTCTCCAAACATCTCAGAGGTACAGGTCACCGGGCTACCGTGTTAACCACTTCAGGAGTTTCTGGGTCAACTTAAGTAATGAACATATAGGCTTATGGGATACATAGTTCCCTGTGACATGTCCAAAGGAAAAGAGAATGACAGGAAGAAATTGGCAAATGAGATGAGTAACTAAAATAATACCGTTGCAGTCCTGGATTAAG